CCTCGCACGGACAGTGGACCTCCAAGGAAAAACCTGGGTTAAGAGGAAAAGAAAATACATCATATTTGAAGCACACCCTTCGACTTTTCAGTGATTCGTCAATTTGATAATCAACTCATATGTAGCTTCACTATTGCAAGACTTACTTAATTAGCAAAAATTAGCCTACACTATAATCAGTTGCGCCCATCATTCTTATGAGTGAACAACTACAGCAACAAAACAAACACACAAATAAATAAACAAAATACAATAGGCGCAGCAGTGAAGGAAAGCAAGCGAGAATAGTTGGTCATCCTGCCTTCATTTTTTGTGTAGCATGAATAATTGATATTGTCTGCTTCTTCACGAACCATATGAAGAACTTGACAGAGACATTAGATATTCTATTTCTATTGACCATAGGCGTACGGGCCGGGGGGGCGGGGAGGGGCGGGGGGGGCTGCAGCCTCCCCAAATTTTGGACAACTCATTTTTTGGGCAGCACGAGAAATTTGGGCAAAGCTAGTTTTAAAGAAGCTTGCATGTGTCTGTGCATTTTTTTTCGAAGAGATATTTTCTGTTTCAACCTGAAGTCGGCGTTGTAAATAGGCTCGATTTCCACCGACTCTCGGGTCCGGTCTTTGATCTTCCCCTTCGGGGGGACGAGTGCGGGCTCATTTTCCCGAACAGCGGCTGGTAATCGAGCCTATGTTGTAAAGTCAGTTAAATTCACACGAGACAGTGGTTGCCTAGCACGTGATCACTTTCTGGTTATTTTTGAAGGGGATCATATGTTGATATATCTACATGTTTGTAATTTTGTTGTTGGGCACTGTGCTGCACTGCACTAGTTAGTGTGGGGACTTTCCAGTTGTGAATTAATTAGAGTCAATTTCGGCACAACTTTCTAGAATCATATTGTAGATTATCCACTGGAGACTCTCAGAAGATCTGAGTCACGTGCTCGGCAACCACTGTCTCGTGTGAATTTAACTGGCTTTACCACGTCCTTTATGGCGTAAAGCGAGCGAAATTCACGCCCGTAGTTTTTCAAAAATTTACGCGACAGTGGAAACAAAATACGCACCTTACACAAGTTTGTTTTGTGTAAAACTCGCCTTATGCCATATTAGACATGTCGAATCCAGCCCCACAAAAACGTAAGCGGGCCTATCGCCATCGCGTTACCTGTTCCGAATGTAAAAAAGACATCGTTGCTGAGTACCAAGACGCTCATGCAAGAACCAAGCATATAGGCAAGAGAATTAAATTTACTGTTTCTCGTGCGCCAAATCAATCGCAACTAGATTTCCCTGGCAGCGATGAAACAATAAATATGCTTAAATACAGTAAAATCGACGCTGAAGACATTGGCCCAGATCTTCAGAATGACAACAGTACAGATATAGTGGATTCATTAGATACTGCTCCAGATAAGTCAGAAATCGAGATGATTCAAGTGAATAATGGTGTTCGGCGTGCTCCGGCTACGTCAGAATTTATGGATGTCGGTGTAACAGACGAGTTAGAAATCATGGATACAGGTAATCCGGATAAGTCAGAGATAATGGCTATGGAAAACATATATAATAGTCGTATATAAGAACGATCCTTCGCAGTAAAGCACTATTTGAGCAATAGTGGAAATCAGACCTGAAAAAAATTTCAGGCCTGTACGGGATTCGAACCACTGACCTCTGCGATACTAGTGCAGCGCTCTACCAATTGAGCTAACAAGCCAACTGGGAGCAGGCCATCAAATTAATTCGATATAAACCCGTAGATGATAAATCGAACAACAACAAACATATGAAACATATGAGTGAACTGCGGTTATGAGACGTATATAAGAACGATCCTTCGCAGTAAAGCACTATTTGAGCAATAGTGGAAATCAGACCTGAAAAAAATTTCAGGCCTGTACGGGATTCGAACCACTGACCTCTGCGATACTAGTGCAGCGCTCTACCAATTGAGCTAACAAGCCAACTGGGAGCAGGCCATCAAATTAATTCGACATAAACCCGTAGATGATAAATCAAACAACAACAAACATATGAAACATATGTGTGAACTGCGGTTATGAGACGTATATGAGAACGATCCTTCGCAGTAAAGCACTATTTGAGCAATAGTGAAAATCAGACCTGAAAAAAATTTCAGGCCTGTACGGGATTCGAACCACTGACCTCTGCGATACTAGTGCAGCGCTCTACCAATTGAGCTAACAAGCCAACTGGGAGCAGGCCATCAAATTAATTCGATATAAACCCGTAGATGATAAATCGAACAACAACAAACATATGAAACATATGAGTGAACTGCGGTTATGAGACGTATATAAGAACGATCCTTCGCAGTAAAGCACTATTTGAGCAATAGTGGAAATCAGACCTGAAAAAAATTTCAGGCCTGTACGGGATTCGAACCACTGACCTCTGCGATACTAGTGCAGCGCTCTACCAATTGAGCTAACAAGCCAACTGGGAGCAGGCCATCAAATTAATTCGATATAAACCCGTAGATGATAAATCGAACAACAACAAACATATGAAACATATGAGTGAACTGCGGTTATGAGACGTATATAAGAACGATCCTTCGCAGTAAAGCACTATTTGAGCAATAGTGAAAATCAGACCTGAAAAAAATTTCAGGCCTGTACGGGATTCGAACCACTGACCTCTGCGATACTAGTGCAGCGCTCTACCAATTGAGCTAACAAGCCAACTGGGAGCAGGCCATCAAATTAATTCGATATAAACCCGTAGATGATAAATCGAACAACAACAAACATATGAAACATATGAGTGAACTGCGGTTATGAGNGCAAAAAGTGGCAGAAGATGGTCAAAACAACAAAAACAGAAACGACTCTTGTAAGTTTGTTGTGTTACAAACACAGTAGGTTTTTTAGAATGCAAATTTCCCACTGCCATTTCTAATTTGAACCCTTTAACTCCAAAGAGTGACTAGCATTTGATTTCTCCTTCACCATAACCCCTGAATCAAACATGAAAGTCCAAAGGATAATAGGAATGATCACCAAATAAAGCAGCTGTCAATTTCTAAACAAATTCTCCTTGTAAGCAACTGAGAAAATGTATAGAGAACAGTATGGAGAATATGCATACTGATGTTAGGATGTAGAGGGTTAGATGCTCCTAGTGTTTACAAGCTTCTCACATTTGAATCACACCTGGACCATAGAAAGAAACTACAGCTGTAACCATCTTTGGGTAATGTTTGCTCAACATGTGAGAAGGTACAACTGTAGGATATTGGGGCTGATAGGGGCAATGTTGGTAAGGGTTATATCTGCATGGGTCAGATCCAAACAGATTTTGTTACAATCCAAATGCAGCAGAAAGTTACCTGATATGACATTCTAGTTCTTGTACCAAATGAGAGATCTGCCTTAACTTGCTCGGCACGTCCAAACACATTGTTAAGTGAACAACCAAACATCTGTTAAACAAAGTGAAGGCTATTGAGTGATGTTTCTTAAAAATGAAGTTGATCCTATCACTGAGTTACAGAGGACTCACTAGGTAGCAAGTGAATAACAATAGGTAAATAACAATAATCATCATAAAATAAAAAGTCTAGAGTGAGTTAACCCTTTACCACTCAAGAATGACTGCTGAATCAACCACAAAAGCTGTAAGAATTATTATGGAAGAGATCATCAACTTTAGAAGCTCTTGATTGCTTAACAAATCCTTTGGGTCAGTACCATGAAAATATGGATATTGATGTTAGGTGTCGAGGGCAAAGGGTTTTTATTTGTGCAAAGCCTACAGTAGATGAGCAATTTGAAAAGCAGGCACATGAAGCAAGTCTGTGTTCATCATTTGTGATCTTTGTAAATTACCTCCAATCTTTAACAGCCTCTTTAAATAAATATATAAATATGTAAATTGAAGCTCCCCCTTAGGGGCTTTCCACCCACAACGTAGACTATATAACTAAGATATATCAACAAAGTTGAAATGGTAAGTTGGCCACCATGACGATTACAAAAGCTGACGTTTTGAGTGTTAGCCCTTCGTCCCTTTGAGACGAAGGGCTAACGCTCAAGGGATTCGTCCCTTTGGGACGAAGGGCTAACGCTCAAAACGTCAGCTTTTGTAATCGTTACGGTGGCCAATTTACCATTTTAACTTTGTTGATACATCCAAATTATTTCGTTACCCCCACCAACGCAGCCCCAAACAGTTTCTTTAGAAACTATCAGCCTTTATACAATGTAGACTAACTAAGTGCTTGAAAATCAGCACTGGCAGGAGGCAGACTAGTGGACTATTTACAGAGCACAGCCAAGGAGTTGAACTAGGGGCAAACGAGAACAAATCCAGTGAGTGGCAGGGTGGAGGAATTGAACCGGGGACACCGAAATACAAGTCTAGCACCCTGACCACTCGGCCACACCGCCTCCTAATTTTTTAACTATCGTCTCTTTCACATCTTTTCTATCTTATTAAATTATGTAGTTTGCATAATGTAGTAGCTAAGGTTTTTTTGAATACAAGCTTCTTTTCATTAACTTGAACATTTTGTTAATTGTTTAATCAAATGTCAAATTGATTATTAACTTACCATATTGCCTTCATTGTTACCAATTTGAGTTCCTGTACTACTGGTCATGAGTCTTTTTTCTTTTACTTCAAATGTCACATCATACCCATTTGGGTTTGATGAATGATCTACAAGTTGACCCACAATCTAAAGTTATTTTTCTCTCAGGTATTAAACCTCTGTTATGCATAATTGAGAAAAAAGGGGGTAGGGAGAGGATAAAAACAGGGCAGGGGGGCACCTTGAAAAAGAATAAATGCTTCCTGGTTCATTTTATACCTGTGCCAGCAAGGACTACATTCCCCACTTCAACTGCCCCTTAATGCTATCTGCAACTTAGTTTGAGTTTATATATTTGATATTGTTTGAAATAGAAGTCAAAGTTGTAAAAAAGGGGGGGTGCTTTTAGTTGCCTTACAGCTTCCTTGTTCATGTCAGGTTATAGTTTTTGTTCATGTTGCTTTAAATTGAGCATGCTTGCAAAGCTGCTGCTTTCATTACAATCCACGCTCTGGAAAGTACTGGTAAGAGTGCTGTGTAGTTTTACACTGAATAGCTGTGCGATGTGCAATGTGTGATCTGTAATGTGTGATGTATGCTTTGTGATGATGTTGAGGCAAAAGCTATTCATGGAGTTGTCATGGTTACCTGCTGCACTAGCATGCAGTTCTTAGCTTTAATAGCATCCCAGGAATCTCCCTTACGGCTGTCTTATATTGACAAGGTTTATTGCACTTGTTCAGTCCTGTTATTGCTGCTGCTTTTGTGTACTCAAGTGTGCAGCCAGGATTATTTGTCCAGTTGAGACACTTAAACTTTAAACACTCCTAACTCAAATGTTACCTGTGCTTGTATCAATGAACATATCAACATCATGAAACACTCCAAGACTCATCAGATCTTCTTTTGCCTCAAGTGCCAATTCCATTAGCTGCCCAATAAATCAACTAGGTTCAGGTTCATGTTAATTAAATCTTAACCAAAAAAAAAACAATAAAAAGGCTTTAACGGATTTCTCGCAGTTTGTAGCAATTCTAGGAATTTTAAATTAAATAATTTGATTCTATGTTGCCTTGTGTCTATTCAGTTATAAATCTGAGATGACGTCCAAATGTGGTAAGTACAAAAAGTGGCACACAAGGCACAAATGATGTATATGTTATTAACATATTTTACCTCTCCTGTGATCTATTAGAGTAGAGATACATGGCAACATGAAATCTTATTGTTTTCTACATATGATAAAAAACCAAAATATTTTAATGGTGACTTCAACTACGCATCTGTCCTCTAAGCAATCATAATAAAGAACCACTGAAAATGCCTGTACAATTTGGCTTATCAAGACATGTGACATGTACAGTATATTTTTTGGTTTTTAATACCCTCTGAGCTGCCTTACTCATCCTTACTTCTTTTTTTTTTACGAAGTCTAGTACCTATAACATCAAATTTACATAGATCTATTTCATGAAACTTGACATGTTACATCTCAAAGTGAAGGGCTCCTTAAAGATTGAAGTTGTGTCCGATTGCTATCTCAAAAGAAGCATTACTTCACTGAAAGTTGAGGCTTCCAACAATCGCTTGATGCCAGGAATTAAAATGTCTCTCTTTGTTCTCCAGTACCCTTCAATATTGATCTGCTCCACAACAGCCTGAAGAAACAGAAATTTTACACAAACAAAAACATTAAATATATCACAAAGAGACATTCATACATGCCCCTTTATCAGACAGTCTTGCCCTTGCATGGTTGTGATCCAGTAAGAGACTTGTTAAATTATTAGTGGTTAATTATTTGACTACTTGTGAATGAATACAAGTTTAATTTCAGCTTTCAACAATCAATGTCAACTTCTACACTGTTTGGGATCACCTGGTGAATGATATGCTTTTACCCAATGTACAAGGTGAAATATCTGAATTCATCTCATGAACATGGGTAATAACATGATTTTGAGTGCAATTTGGTGTTAATAAGCACCAGTTAATTTTTTCAAAGACATGAGCCCATAAGGCAAGTGCAATCTACAGTCTTCAAAAAATTTACAAGTACTTATTTTACACCAAATTGCACTCAAATCATGTTATTACTTATCAATCATTTATATGAAAAAGTATCAAAGAAAGTCATGACACAAAATTTTGAAAGCATGCATGCTATTTATAATTTGTATGCATGTTACACAAAAAATGCTCTTGTTTTCAGCCAATCAGGACCACATACTTTTTTCATATTACCCTGAATGAAGTGACACTGGAAATTTATTCTGAACTTGGGTAAACATTTCAACTTAAAAAAACGTGGAAAAATAGCTGTTAACTTACTGGTCTGGAGAGAAATTCCTTGGTTGTTTCATTAAACTGACTGTTATTGCCATCCTCAGTCCCCTCCTATGTAATTTGTAAAAAATCAACAATGTGTAATACTCAGTGGCAAAATTTGCCATCCATAGGAAGAGAACCTGCCATCTCCAGATTTATAATAATTACAGTTGGTTCAGATGCTTGACTGCTCATCACAAAATGTCCCTGCCATTAATAATACACAAATAAACCCTGTATACTGTTTAGCCAATATACAGATCTCCTCTCTGGTCTCTGTATAAATCCTCTTATAACAGCCTCGTCAAGAATTTTCTTAAGATCAGGGCACTTTCTCTCAGGTGATCAGTATCTTTATTTTCACAACCTTTACTCATGACAAGGCATAGAAATTACAGTAGAAATTCAAACCTGATCACCCTGAAAACCATGCAACACTATCTTCTTCACAACCCTAGCACTTTTCAGCCAAAACTGTATTCAGGGTGGGTAGCTATGCATCTTAGCACACTTTCAGTATTGTTCATCAGTGTGGCATTTCTGCAGTGTACAAAACACTGAGAAACTACGTGCTCTTAATAAAAGAAGTCTTAGGTTCATTCTAAATGATGTTGAATCTACGTATAATACTTAATTGGACAAAGTCACCTGTGTTTCTTTATATAACAGACATATACACAATATGTTAATTTTACTTTACAAAAGTTTATTTCTAACTAAGTATCCTGTCTACATGAGGAATATGTTTACTTTTCGTAATACCATTTATAATTTACGCTGTAACTACATTCTGAAACTCCCTGTTGCTAAGACTACTTCTTATGGCCTTCGCTCTTTTTCTTATCATGCCGTTAAACTATGGAATTCACTACCA